GGGCAGATTTCGCTCGGGTTCCCATAATTCTTCGGACGTGGATTGTGTGTAGGGATGTGTTATTTAGTTGTATGTCTTCTGAAATGGATAAGGAGTTGGGTATCTTGTACACGTGGGTCGAGTTGGGTTAAGTATTGAAGATCTCCTTGGTATGAATTGTAAATACCTTAGGAAGAATTTTTATAATAATTTTTGGAAGTTTTTCTATATTTTTGTATATGTAATCCTAAGATCAAGAAGGGAATGAGGAATAAGAAGCTGAAAAACCTTAGTCTCTTTGAAGCACAAGTCTTAAAACTAAATTAAAACTTAATTCTTAGCTCGCAGGCTAGTGTCACGTTTATAATTTTCATTATCTGATTTGTTTTTGTTTTTCATTGTTGTTTTTATTAATGTTATCAGAAGTGCTGTAATACCTAATAGTATACTCCTTTATCTTATTTGCATAATTATCAGTATGTTGTTTTCATTTTCATGCTAATGACAGTTATCAGAATTGTTAAAATAATCATTATCATTTTTGTTATCACCATTACATTTTTTTTTTATATCATATTATCATAAGCTGTTGTAGTGTCATTATTATCACTATTACTAGTAGTAGATGTAGTGGTAGATGTAGTAGTAGTTTTGTTAACATTATTATTGTTATAACAGTTATTATCATTATTATTATCAATGTTGTTGTTATCATCTTTACCTATATCATTATCATTATTATCATTATTATTTTCATTATTATCATTATCATTATTACTACCAGCAGTAATAGTAATAGTAGTAGTACTGTCATTAGTTATCACTACTTTCATTATCATTATCAGTATTTTCAGTATTATTAGTTATCACTATTATTATCATCAGTATTATTAGTTATCACTATTATTATTATCAGTATTATTAGTTATCACTATTATTATTATCAGTATTATTAGTTATCACTATTATTATTATCATATTATTAGTTATCATCATTGTTACTATTATTATCGTCATTATCATTACTTATATCATCTTATATTTATCCTTATCATCATCTTTATTATTATTATGTTATTACACTACAACCCATTATGCTTACACCTTATTCCTGGAATCATACCACTTCTTACGTGAAGCCAATTCATTCTGGAGTAAAATGGGGTGATAATTGGCATTAATGTTAAATAATGACACACACATCATATTGCGAGTCTATGAGAAAATCCTAATCTAACTCAATTATAATAGTTATCATTGTTATTATTGTTATTATCATTATCATCATTATCGTTGGTATTTTCGTAATTATTACTATCATTGTTATTGCTGTTATTATCATTATCATCATTATCGTTGGTATTTTTGTAATTATTATTATCATCGCTATTATCATTATCATTATCATCATTATCGTTGTTATTTTTGTAATTATTATCATCGTTATTGTTGTTATTATCATTCTTTTTTCACTGCACTGACGTAGATAAACAGTCAATTGTGCACATTCCATGTTTACAAAGTGAGGGAGGGGGGTAAAAAGGAAGAGAGGAGGGAAAGAGGACAGGAAGTGGGAGAAGAAAGGGGGCAGAGGGAGAAAGGGAGGGGACTTTAAGAGGAAAAGGGTGATGGGTAAGGTGAAAGGAGAGGGAGCTCAGAGACAAAAAGGGTGGAAGCGAAAGGGAAGGAAGGGGATAAGGGAGTGGAGGAGATGAAGGAGGAAGAGGGGGGAAGGGAGAGGGGTCATTGCTGATATTATTATTCGTGTTGATGTTATTATTACCATCAATATCATTTCTCTTACTGTTATTATCATCATTATTATCACTCTTACTATTGCAATTACTATTATCATTACTATTATCATTATCATATTATCATTGTCATTATTATTATCATTACTGTTATCATTGAGATTATGATTATTGTTATACTTGTTATTATCATTATTACCATCATTTTTATTACTATTCTTAGTATTATCATCATAAATTTATCATAACATCAATTTCATTATCATTATCAGGATAAGTACTAGCAGCAAAATGTAGTAGTAATAGCAGTACCATCATGATTATTAATACTTTTGTGTTGGTAATAACAACAATAATGATGATAATAAGAATGATGATACTAGTAATGACAATAATGGTGATGAAAATGATAATAGTAATTCTAATTCTAATACTAGGATAATGATAACAGTAACAACAACAATAATGATGATAATAAAAATAATTATAATAATAATGATAATGGTAATTGTAATGATTATAAAAATGTTAATGAGGATAAAAATAGAAATAATAATGCTTATAACAAAAATCAGAAGAAAAGTAATGATCTGAAAAATATCATAATTAATTTGATCATCATCACTATTATTTTTTAGGCTATCATCATAATTATCATTATTACTTTTATTATTACTATTAACATTGCTAGTAGTAGTATCATCACAATTATCATTATTTTTATTATAATCATTATAATTATTTTCATTACCATTATTGTTACTGATATTTTTATTATCATCATAATTGTTATTATCATTATCATTACTGATATGAACTTTACCGTCATCATCATCATTATTCTCCTTCTCACTATCATCATGATTTTCTTCACATCATTATCATTTTTATTGTTGTTGTCATCATCATTATCACTATCATCACTTCACTACTGATATTTTGTTGCTGATATTATGTTGGTAATACTATTATCGCTATTATCACGCCACTATTATTGCAATGATCAGTATTATGCAAAAATATCCCTATGATTATCATCTATAATTCTTTTTCTGTTATGGCTGCTGTTAGCATTGTTTTTCCTCAAACGGACCCCCTTTTTAATAAAAAATGATAATAATGATAAATAATAATAATAATAATAATAATAATAAT